CCAGAATATATTTAGAAGCAACACTGATTAGATTAACTCAGCAATAAGAAGGAAGACAGAAAGACTTAGAAGGAGGAGTAGAGGAAGATCAAGTGTTTAGTTTAGCCATATTAGCCCAAGATGTTGAACGGACATGGTTAAAAAGATGCAAGGCAGACAGGCTTTGATAACACATGAGAGAGCAAGTTAGTTTTTCCCTAATCAGTTTAAAGAAATAATTAAAAGACAATCATTGTAGGGTGAAGAGTCAGAGGATTAGCACTATACTTTTTGAGAGAGAAAGAAAGACATTTTCAAACAAAACTGACATAAAAATGTTTTTTAAAAACTGATAGTCATGTAATTTTTTATTTAATCAACGTAACTGGTTAATAGCAGACCGCAGTGAAGTTATGACACAGGAAGTATTTCTTTACCTTTCACCTGAATTGGCTCTTTCAGAAAAGATTGCTTTTGACCTGCACTGTTGGCTTCTTGTCCTGCAAAATAAAAACAAAAATTATTGCCTGTGTGGAGATATCTACTTTTTTTTCCCCCCGTCCCGTAAAGAGTTTGGTTGGCAAGACAAAAATCACCGTATAACTTAATAGGGCTTTCCATCATGACAATTAAAAGCTTTTATACCAGATCTTCAATGCTTAAAACACATGAAATACAAGAGTTATATAATAAGACATTTAACTTAGCACTGATTACTAAATTCCTAACAACTTGCAAAACAGTGCAAATCTGCAACGTGTTACAGAAAGATCCAGAAATTAAATAAAACAGAACAAAAGTATGCATTTATAGCTTGGAAGCATATTTATGAAAATTTTAGATGAATAAGTATAATGCATTCTGTGCAGTTTATGAGAGCTCTTCACCACAAATTCACATACCTTTCAATATGTAATGTAACTCAATTACAAGAAGCTGAAGCTTAAGATACATCCACAACTCCTATCACAAATTGGAATTATTTCTAAAGCAAAGAAAATTGTTTTTTTTTGAGGTTGTGATCAATAAAATATGTATGCTTATTTTTTTAAAGAAAATATAAAAATATTTATAATATCATAAAGTAAATTTTAGTATGTGGAAATTATTATATTTCAACAATTTGAGATTTTTAATCACAAACTAGAATTGGGTTTTTTTGGGGTTGTGATCAATAAAATATGTATACTTATAAATATTTTTATATTTTCTGTAAAAAAATAATATCATGAAGTAAATTTTAGTATGTGGAAATTCTTATATTTCAGCAATTTGAGATTTTTAATCACAAACTAGAAATGCCACTGAATAATTCAGATAAATATTGCATGTTGTTTTAATGCCTCCCACCACAGCCTTCAGAACAGAAACCTTACGATTCTAATATCTAGAACCAACATGCTCCTTCCTTGAAGCTCTAACACTAAAGCTGGAGGTTTGCCAAGCATCTGCACTCATTAACAAAGCTAACCTTGCTGAAAATTATACTCATAATTTGAAGATTCAAGTACATTTACGTTGCTTAATGAGATACATTTAGCTTAGCAAGATTTACTTATTGGCCTCACAGTCTTCAAAGCTTAAGATACATAGCTATATTTCTCATTAATCAATTAGTGACGACCTTAAAAGCAACTGAGAATTAAGGGTATTGACCATAAAAATGTACATTCTTAGAAAAATAAGAGTAACAAAACACTTATAAATTTATGAAACAGGTTTTATCATGCAACGAAAAAGGTTGGACTGTAAACCATCCGTCTTTCTAAAACACTCCTCCTTATTAGTTATTGTTTGGCTTGAACAACATTTAAAAAAAAATCCTTTTCTTTTGTACTCACTTCTTACCAGCTTTAAAATATTTGTCAGCCCATTTATCATTCTTCATAACAACAGACCTCCCTCAACCAAGGTCTACCAAGATGCTTTAGAAAAAAAGATGTGTGAAAATGTGACAAGTCATTTTCTAGCATTTCAGAAGCTCTCAATGCAACCTCACTAAAAGATATCAGACCAACTCTATTTAACAAAAGGTTAAGTCATAAAGTTTCAGAGACAGAAAAAAAAAGTCACACATCAAATATAAAGATTTATATCTAAGCACTGAGATCACATTAAGTTCCTTTTAGAATTTTACTACCTTGGCCTAGAGGTTGGACTAAAAAGAAAAAGAAAAAAACCCTAATATCTCTGCAGTTCCATGTGGGTTTGCAAGTGCCACCGGCTGCCAGCCCAAAGCAGCTCTGACGGCGGCTGCTCCCCTGGCGCCCCGTGCGCTCCACGACCACGAAGAGCAGTGTCCTCAGGACAGGGCACAGCATGGGCCTGCTCATCCAACCCAGTGCTAACTCCCCAAAACAAGGGAAATCAGGCTCAATAATCATTTACGCCACACAGGAGAGGATAATCCGAGAGGGATGAGAAGAGGTGGGAGCGCTCCTCTAATGACTGCTAACAATTATAATTTAAGGCCACCAGGAAAGCAACAGTGCTGAAGTCCGTTTCATATATCCAGCTGTAAAGGACACTGATTAGTAGCTGAACATTCTTGACCTAGGAAAAATCAACAATTACAAGTCACTCTCTGGTCTCTAGATATACCTGGCAGGTGTCTCTGCTAGGTTTGCCCTTCAGCAGTTACTGTTAGCTCAAGACTTCCTAAATTTCTCATCTATTTTTTTTTTTGCTTCTAAAAAACATAAACAGCCTCAGTGAATATGGTCCTCTAAATTTCAATTACATCTCCAAAACAATATCTATTTCTAGAAACAATATCTGTCAGAATTACAGCATTTTTTTAATCTACCTTTGTACTTCCAACATTTTACATCAACCTTGTGCTTCCAAACTTTCACACAGAAAAGTAACTCTCCTGTGATTACCTTTCCTAGCTTTTAAAGACTGCTGCAAACCTTAGGTATGGGTAAGCTACAAAAGCAAGAACTGCTAAGCTACTTAACCATAGAATTGTTTTAATTTAGTAAGCCATTCAGTTTTAAAGAAAAGCACTCGGAAAGAGAGCTCTTATTTTTGAATGCTTTACCATCTCTTGAGTACACTAGTCTTTCAAACTCATATCTGTGCAATGGTATATTTATTAAGTTGAAAACAATAGGTAATACAGGGGTTGAGCAAAATTGAGACGGCTCTGAATTTCTTGAGTCCTCAACTAGCACAAGCTTAACAAGCAAAACAAGGAGCAAGGCTATCCTCATTTTAATTGTTAATTGTGAATGTTGCAGGGGTAACCACCAGCAGATTAGAAAGCTCTAGAAAATGAAACAGCCCAACTTTCTCCATCAATCATCACTATCCTAATCTGAAGAAGTCACAATTCTCAGTTTTATTACTCATCTAATCTGTAGCACCAGTTCATTTCACACAACAAATATGAAATACTGTAAAAACAGTTCAATTAAGTCCCGAAAGTGATATTCCATCTCCTAAATGATCTAATCCCTTCTGACATGCACATTTTATCATCAGCACCAATTCCATACTGTAAAATTAAATCCTGTATTTAAAGGGATGTCACTCCTCTCTGCTTATACATATGGCATGCCCAGAAGTCACAAAGATTAAAAGTTCTGCAACTGCAGTATAACACAAGGAAAAAAAAGCATCAATTGTTACTTATATTAAGTTTTTACATTTAGATAAATAAAATACTCCTTACTTTAGCCCTAGCACAGTGAAAACTGAAGCAAAGACAGACCTGTTGCACCTTTGGGCACAGCGCCTTCAGTACTTGATACATTTGTATCCTCTGATCCAAGATCTTTTTTCTGACCATTAGAGGTGTAAACTCTCACTTGACTCATCAGCTGCACAGGCAGACGATTGCAAGGAAGAACATAACAAAGACTCCCACTTTTCACTGAAGTCTGCCATCCTAAGAGAGAAGGAAGGAAGAAATGTCTCAGACAAGTCATTTGCAAAGGAAAAATAAGGGAAATTGATTGATTGAAAGTGATTGAAACCTACTGATTCAAAAGAACCAACACAAACTACTGTGCGTAACTATCAGCGAGGGATAAAGTGTATTTCATTCTGCATACACTCCAACTAATTCCTTACTGCAGAGCATGATTTAAGATTTGCTAAAGCAGTAAATTATGAAAATACACCACACTTTGTAAAACATCTTACCCAGAGTAATTTCAAGTGTTTATACCACCTTTATAAGTTACAATATAAGATACAAGAAGTCAGTCAAGACATCAACCTTGCTAGGCAGACCCTAATCTTAAAGGGCTGCCAAAAATAAAGCTGCATGTGGATATGGCCTGCTGGTGCTAATAAGAAGTTTCTTTCAGGAGGCACCCACACACACTTCTGTGGTGCCTGCAAACTTGAATTTCCAGCCTGAAATGCAGCAAGCAAACTGGTTGCTCTGGAAAGCATGAATTAAAAGAACAAGTAAATGTAAAACGTCAAACAACGCTGGTAAACCAGGTCACGCAAGGGAGGTTCGATAAAGCAGCGTATTCTGCAGCGGTGCCTTGCGCTCACTTTGGTCCTCTGGCACCGCAGCAGCTGCCACAGGGCACGTGGGGCTGATCCCAACCTCACCAACAACCAACCCCACAGGAGGAGCAGCCCAAGAGGCTACTGGGGACAGCTCAGGGCTGCCGAGGTGGTAGGAGCCCTGCAGAGCAGCCCAGCACAGCCCAGAGGCCTCGCCAACCGCCCCCCATGGGAGATGGCAATAAATACGCAACATAAATGGGTCAGTGTTGACTCCTGAGCTCTGGTGGTGGTGCTGGAGCAGCTGAAAATGAAAGCTTAATCAGCACATTCAGCAGTCCTACGCAGTCACGTACACACGCACACGAATCAAGTGTTTACTGCAATATGGCTATAAGTGATGGTATGAAGAGGGGCAAGAGCGGTCACAACTGTAATCTTGTGGGATCCATGGCCTAAGGAAAAGGCTGGGGTTTTGCAAAGGATTAAACCCCCCCCCAGTAGCCTGTGTTTCCTTCCACACTTACCACGACCCTCACCTCTAAAGCAAACGTTACCATGTAACGTTATGTAAGGGCCCTGGCAGGGGTCGGGGCCTAGAGGGTGCACTTTAAAAAACAAACGCTGCAGGGGGCAGTGGCCCCCTCCCGGGTGCCGCCGGGCATTACGGCCCGCAAGGGCAGCGGGGAGGGCCCCGCGGCCCGGCCGGGTCTCACTCACCGTGGGCGGCGCGCGCCGCCCGGCAGCGCACGTAGAGGCGGTAGAGGCGCTGGGCGGCCAGGGCCGGCAGCATGGCG